CAGAGTGAACATTTAATAACTAGATTGAAGACATCCCTTCACAGTGCACTAATAGGAAAAACACTACCACATTAATTCTCTCCCACGTCTGACCTGCCCTCTTTCTCAGCTTACCAGTATTGTGTTTTTCTGTATCTCACTGCCTCATTTTAGGAATTCAGAAATTATAGTGATCGTGGTAGAACATGGCAGCATGCAGGCAGACATGGTGCTAGAGAAAAAGCTAAGAGTCCTACATCTTGCAGTCAACAGGAAGTGGTCTGTGACACTAAGCGGTATCTTGAGCATAGGAGACCTCAAAGCATACTCCCTCAGTGACACACTTCCTCCAACAAGACCACACCGCCTAATAGTGCCACTCCCTTTGGGGCCATTTTCTTTCAAACCACCACACAGTGTACTACTATGTCCGGCATCAATTCTTTTCTTCTTTCCTTATTGAATCACAAGATTCAAAGGAAGAACATTTTTTGATGAAAATCATACATATCTCAATCTAAAATACTTAAATATGATAATATGATGATTTTGTATATAATCATTTTAAGACTTTAAACTCAGGTATTTACTGAACTAGAAAGTTAATACATTTTATCTACATTCACTTAATATGCATGTATATCTACACAAATACATAAAACAGTTGTCATAGAATATGATCCAAGATGTATTTTAAAAGACAAGTACAAGTTGCATAGTTTATATTGTACAATTCCACTTTCATTTAAGAAGTGTTTGATATGCAAAAAAAAAAAAGGATTTGAAATGGCATGTAGTTGTTTACTGTGAAGAACCCTAGACAATGGAGTTTGGCTTCAAGTCCTCAAGCTGAGCAGAATCGGACCTTGATATTCATAGGAAAATGACTTGCTAGAAAGAGTTTCAGAGAGGAAGAAAAGTAGGACTTCGAGGAGACTGAGGCTGGACCCCAAGCAGAGGTGTGACATCAAGAAAAGCCAGTTAAACTAAGTTAGTGACCAAAGAAAGGAAATAGAGCCTGTGGTTCTTTACTGTTCTGTGTCCTTGGGACCTCCAATGGAAGGAAGGGTAGGTCAGGAAGTACCTAGGCCCTGCATGAAGTTTTACCTTACAGAGACTGCAAGTGCTGGGTATAAGAGTGAGAGCTTGGAGTTGGAAGAAATGTGGGCAGTTTCCTGGTAATAGTTGTGGCTGACAGCTAATGAAGATTTGAAGCCAGAGACTTGGTTTTTGAAATGTACAAATTGACTTTAAACTCTCCAGGGCTAACTATTGTGGTTCCACAAAGATTTGGGCTGCTTCTCTTTGCACTGCTGTGCTATCACAGGGTTGTTGCCCAGAACTGTGTGGTCCATAATATTCAAAATGATGTTTATATCCTGTTATAAGACAGAGGGAAAAGGCAAGGAAAGAACACATTAATTCTGGTAAGAACCAGTTCTGGAAATTATATGTTACTTCAGCTCAAGTCCCATTAGCTGTGATTTAGTTTCATGGCCTCCCCTGGATGCAAGAGAAAATAGTTTTATTCTGCTTGGTCTTGTGCCCAGCTAAAATAGGAGACTGTTATGCAACTGTTTCTATAGAAGGAAGGAGCATGTATCACAGAACCATCTGTAGACATTGCCACTTTGTATTTTACAAGGATATTGGTTTGGTTGTTTTTTAGTTTCAACAAGCACAGTTTTATTTTAATTGTGCACAGGCTGGGTCTCTAGGAAGCAGAATTTGAGACAGAATTTGGTGCATGAGCTATTTAATAATACCCATAGGTTTAAGCACTGTGGACATGACAGGAATGAAGTAGGATTTGGCCAGAGAAGCTGCTGAGATTCTGTTCTACAGTAGCCAGCACTGACTGCCTTGCAAGCCCTGGAGCTGCTGTCCTAGCAGAGTTGCTCTATATCAGGCTGGAGTACCTGGTTGTGTATGTTTTTCAGTTTTTGTCCAGCTGAATTTGCTTCTGTAGTTGCCCCAAAAGCAGCTTCAGGGGAGTTCTCACAAGGGAGTGTTCCAAATTATGTCTAATTTGTGATTAAGACCCAGAAAGAAAGCTGGGGAAAATGGAAGATTCAAGGTCCTTCCTTGTTTCTGCCACTCATTGGATTTAGGCTACCATGGGAAGAACTTGACTGGACAAGGCAGCTTTGCTAGGTGAACCCCACAGGGGCTGAATTTGCCCACTAAGTCCTTTCTTAAAGGAGGTTGGGGTGGTACATTTCTATATTACAAATGTATTCAGAAGTAATTAATACATTTTATTTATCCATTTTATAATTTGAAAAGCTAAATTTGCTTATTCTTTCACCAAGAATTTCTTTTTTCGTTGTTTTGTTTTGTTTTTTAAGACCAAGTTTCTCTGTGTAACCACCCTGTCTGTCTTGGAACTCACTTTGTAGACCAGGCTAACCTCAAACTCACAGAGATTTACCTACCTCTGAGTGCTGGGATTAAAGGCATGAACCACCCTGCCTGGCAACCAAGAATTTAATCAACTACTGTATGACACTGGAAGTTTTAAAACAAAGTTTCTCTCCTCCTGGGGATATTTGGAGATAGATGGTAAGTAAGTAAATTCATAATATGTTAAGTAGTTAAGGTTCTTCTCTGACAAAGTGGTTTGATTGGATGTTAAGTGAAATGGTGAATCAGATATGTAGGTCTTAGGGGGAAGAACATTCCAAACTGAGATTTCAGTAAATACCAAGGCAGCTGTGGAAGGGATGTAATGTTTTGGTATGTTTGAGTGTAGTGGTGGTATTTGCTACTCCCATGACCTTGGGCTATACAGGAGGGTAGGGCAGGAGGTGGTGCTTCTTGCCATTGTATGTGACCTCTTTTAAAAGGAAAGGGAAAGGGGTCTCGAGGTCCCTGCTTCCTGCTTCCTGGTGTGATCGAACTGCCAGTGTATTAGTTCCCCGGTCAGATCAGAGGACACTTCAGCTGTCTACTCGGTTCTGTATTCATGAATGTATTTCCTCCATTTATATCCTTATAAATTCCCTAATACTTCTTAGGCAGACTCCTGTAGATTCCTCTCTTTATTTGAGAGCAGCAAGGAGCTATATAACTGGAGTCAACTAGAATGGTAGAATGAAGGATGGTAGGAGAGTTCTGGTCATATGAGACCTTAAAATCCATGGCAAAGACTTGGAGGACCTTCTGAGAATGGAACTATAGGAAAATGTTGAGATGAGAAATGATACAATCAGTCATGTTTTTAAGAGATCAGTTTGAGCAGTATGAAAATGTGCAGTCCTTAACTGAGATGAGCAAAATTGTGAATAGAGCAGGGTTGGATTTGGGGGGGGGGGGGAGTAGTTGGGATTCAGTTTCCAATATGGTAAGTTGTCAGCACCAGTTGGCCATCCCCACAGATGTCAAGTAGGAAGTTGTAAAAAAGGAAACAAATAAGGCAAGAAGTCTAATGTGCAGCTTAAAATCTTGGGAGTTGTTAGTGTATATAGTTGATATTTAAAGCCATGAGCATAACCAGGCTTAGTGTCATGTCCCTATAATCGCAATCCCTGGAAGACTGATGCAGGAGATTGCTGGTTCAAGGCCAGTCTAGCTACATAGTGAATTCAAGGCCAGTCTGGCAATCTGGGATATAAAGATCCTGTATTTTAGGAGGGGAAAAATGGAAATAAAAAAAGTCATGACTGAGTATAATGGGCAGCTTTATAATAAATGATGAAGAGAAAGAGAAGGTCTCAGATCTGAGGTCAAGAACATTCTAGTGCTTGGAAGAATATGATCATCTGAGACTTCCTCAGTGTGGCTGAGTAACATCAGTGAAGACTTGCTTGTCTGACTTTGCTGGTATAGAGATCATTAATACTGACTAGTAGTGCTTTGTAATGAAGGGGACAAAGTGGATTAGTTGATGTGAATGGAAGACAAACTGAGTGTAGCCAGAAAGACAGGTCTTTTAAATAATTATTTGTTTTGAGAAAAACAAAATGGAATGAACCACCCTGGGCCTTTTAAAGAGTTACACTGTGTAGTGGTTTGGATAAAAATTGCCCTCATAGACTCATAGGGAGTAGCATTATTGGAAGTGGGGCCTTGTTGAAATACATGGGGCCTTGTTGAAGGAAGTATGTCACTGAAGGTGTGGGCTTTGAGGTTTCAGAAGTTCAAGCCAGGCCTAGTGGCTCACTGTGTCTTCCTGCTGCCGGTGGATTTAGATATAGAACTCTCAGCTACCTCTCCAGTACCTGCTTGCCTACATGCTATGGCAATAATGAACTAAACCTCTGAACTGTAAGCCAGCCACAGTTAAATGTTTCCTTTATAGAGTGTCTGTGGTCATGATGTCTCTTCACTGCAGTAGAACCCTAAGACACCAAAGGACAGAAAGGCTGACATGAAAGCTGGAGCAGCATTGTGTGGTGGAAAGAGGGAAGTCAGGAGGAATGGCAGTTCATCTGATGTTTTTAACTACTCAGAGAAGAGACTGTTGGTGGCACTACTAGAACAGAAGGAGATCCTTGGATAACTGTGGGGAATGTAAGGGTTAATACATAAATAGAAGGATTGTTCTCATGCTCAGCTCAATCAACAAAACAAATAAAGTAGTATACATGGCAACTGGAATGTGTTTGGCTATGTGTGGAAGAGCTGTACTGATTGAATGACATTTGCCATTAACTGAAGCATAGACTGTTGATGGAAAGAGGAAGAAGTAAAACAGTGCTCTGGGAAGCTGAAGAGTGAATGGAATGGGGAATAAAATTGAAATGCCCTTGTGAGGTTGTGGATAGAAAATTTGGTCAGTCAGCATAATTGTGTGTGTTGGCCTTCTTCAGCCATATTTAGCTGCTCATAGTTAGATGGTTGCATTTACCAAATTATTACAAAGTGCATTATTTGCTGTCAAAGCTCTTATCATGAGGTTGGAGTTATTTGAATTGCATTTAGAATTTTAACTTTTTGATTACATCTGTTTTGATAGGCTGAATGTAGCGAATGGCAGTCATTAAAAAAAGGGCATGGCATTGTTCCAGACAAGGTTTTTGGATGAAAATTATAGGGTTTAATTCCAGCTAATGTATACAAAAAAGGAATTCTTTGAGGGCTGTAAAGAAGTTCACAGCTGATATAAAGTATGAAAACTCTGGTCCAAGATGTAGTCAGGAAGCAAGGGAGGGAGGCAGTCTGGAGTGAGTGCAGTGGCTTCTACCTGGATTCCATCTACTCAGGAGGCTGTGGCAGGAACATCACTTGAGCCTAGGAGCTTGAGACCCCTTAAAAAAAACAGATAACCAACCCATAATTTAGCTTTCATGCCTTGTTAGTTATCTGAAGTAAATCAAACCCATATTCACCTACTAAAAATAGTAAGAAAGGAAACAGTATCTAAGTCCTACAGGTGTGGTGGTGCACGCCTGCAATCCTAGCAGTTAGGGGGTGACGGCAGAGTTAGGAGTTAGGATCCAACCTGTGTTACGTGAGACCTTGTTTCAAAACAATAAGAATGGTTTTAAAGCCTCTTAAGAGTGTGATTTCCAGATGGGACTAATTAGAAATGGCTAAAAAGTTACACACACACACACACACACACACACACACACACACACACACACACACATCTATAGTACCTAGTAAG